TGGCAGGAACCCACCCCTGGTAGCAGCAGATATTTCTCTTCCCGGGTGGAAAGAGAAAATATCTGCTGTGAGCTCTGTGTAGGCATCAAGAAGGGCACTTAACCAATAAATGCTCAGTTCCATTCAACTGCCCTGATTCCATTTTACCTTTTTATTGGGAAAAAAATGATTTGCTTTAAGTAGAGATCCTACCTGCATATGTAGCATTTTAAGATTAGTCATAGATATTTTGCTCTTAGCTTTTAGAAGAACTTTCAGCATTTTATAGTGCCTTTTTTTCCTCGCTTTCAGGTAAGATTGGTTTCTCCAAGAATTTATTAATCTAATACTTTACAATCTGGAGACCACTTATAAACCATTTGAATCCAGGCTGAGGTTACAGGGATGCAAAGGGTTACCGGGCTGTTAAAAGGAAAAAAAAATGTTTGCAATAACTTTTTAAATATTTATATAATTGTCTGTAAGCATATGATTAACTACTAGTTTGTAAATGATCCCCTTGAAGGATTACATAACAAAATCAAGATGAAGGCTACTGTTTGCACTGTTTTTTCCCCGGGTTTGTGAGATTTTGTGAAAGCACATTTAAATAAATAATCTTCCCAAATGGTTTCCAAAATAATGGACTCTCTGAAAATCGTATCACGAGTGTTCCTAAACATTTCAATCAGGTAGTAATGATCCTGTACAACAGAAATCCATTTTCTCAAAATCATTAGACATCTTGAAATATATATAAACCATAGCCATACAATATTCCTTAGAAAAATCCATTCCCCTTATCTCCTTTTGAACTTCTCTTTCTTTTGCTGAAGAGGGTACTTTAACTCATTGAGAAGGTCATATATATTGATTTTCCATTGTATCCAAGTGTTCACAGATCTTTCCCTAAGTCTCACTAGTGTTGTCCTATTGTAAATGTCACTTTTCTTCAAGTATTGTGTTCTTGGGGGGGGGGGGGGAGAAAGAACCTCAGCCTGGATTCAAATGGTTTTTAAGTGTTCTACAGCTTGTAAAGTATTTCATTAATTCTTAGAGAATTATTCTTAGAGAAACCAATCTTATCTGAAAGCGAAATAAAGAAAAGAAAAGAAGAAAGAAAGAAAGAAAGAAAGAAAGAAAGAAAGAAAGAAAGTTTCTTTCTTTCTTTCTAAAAGAGCCTCAGTAGCACAGTGGTTAGAGTGCAGTACTGCAGGCTACTTCTGCTGACTGCTGGCTCAGTGCAATTTGGCAGTTCAAATCCCACCAAGTTCAAGATTGACTCAGCCTTCCATCCTTCCAAGTCAGTAAAATGAGGACCCAAATTGTTGGGGGCAATATGCTGACTCTGTAAACTGCTTAGAGAGGGCTTTAAAGCACTGTAAAGTGGTGTATAAGTCTAAGTGCTATTGCTTTTTATCACTTTTTATATATGTTAGATGTTGGATCAATTTGATTATTCGATAGAGATGTTCCTATTGGAATTATTTGTTTATATGATATATTGTCTGGTTAAATAAGATGAGAAAGCTTGTAATTATTTGCAGGCCTATTATGTAGGGGTATGGTGGTGGAGAATTTATTAGATTTTTAATTTTTTTCTTTTTGGCATCTTTGTTGTAAAGTGGTGTATAAGTCTAAGTGCTATTGCTATCTGCCCATCCAGTTCCTTGGGATGGATTCAATAGGTGGGAATATATGTCAAATCCAGTCCAAGTTCTACTAAAAGCTACATGCAAAATATCTATGACCAATCTTAAAATGCTACATATGCAGGTATCATCTCCGCTTAAACAAAATATTATTTTTTTCCCAATAATAAAGTATTGATCACAAGGAACAAAGAATATTTAAGATGTGCCTCTAGGCAATTCCATGCTTTAATCTTCACTTTGTGGATAAGAAGTGGCCATAAGGGGAAATTTTTTTTAAATGCCAGTCCCATACTTCATAAATGATGCAAGAAACTGAAAAGTACATCTGTTATAAGAATAGGTAAAATAATCAATGCCTTTTACTGTAGGATTCCTGGCCTGCAGTAGAATCAGGAAATGTCAATCTGGTACACACTGGCAAGAGGATGCCAGGAGAAGATAGGTTACCCCGGAGCTAGAGTTCTGACTGCATAGGCCTATAATGGAAAGGTTAGATAGAGAGGAAATAGGACTCTGTGCTAAGGTAAGTGAGATCGGCGGTAGAAATGACGAGGCGGCGTCTGAGGTAACCTTGAACCGTTTATTCGAGCAAGAACGTAACGAACATCAACTGTGAGTAGACCGGCACCTCTCCTTCGTCTGACAGCCTTTTATACTCGGCTGTCAGATAGTTTAGCCAATGGACTCGCGTATGACAGCCCGGCAACCGGCAGGCGCATCTGATTGGCTAAGACACACCTGGCTGCCGCCGAGCTGTCATTCGTAAGTCCGAGGACTTACGAGGCTACAACAGTAAGCACCAGCTAAGAATAAAGAAAGTTCCAAACTTCAAAGAAAAATAAAGAAAGTCTTTGTCTACCCTGGCTAAAACATATGAAGAATGGTTCCGAATGTTAAAAACTACTCCCCCTTTACAAAACAGATGTTTATGATATTTATTTCCTACCTACTTCCCTAACAGAAAATATACTGGTATATGCACAGGTACAGTATAGGTGGTACCTTGCTCAACAGTAGTAACTAGTGGACAACCATTTAAATATGAGCCTGGCGTGTGCAGCAGCTGCCAAAAAAGCCAACACCGTTCTAGGCTACATAAACAGAGGGATAGAATCAAGATCACGTGAAGTGTTAATACCAGTTTATAATGCCTTGGTAAGGCCACACTTGGAATACTCTATTTGGTTTTGGTTGCCATGATGTAGAAAAAATGTGGAGACTCTAGAAAGAGTACAGAGAAGAGCAACAAAGATGATTAGGGGACTGGAAACTAAAACATATGAAGAACGGTTGCAGGGACTGGGTATGTCTAGTTTAAAGAAAAGAAGGACTAGGGGAGACATGATAGCAGTGTTCCAATCTCTCAGGGGTTGCCACAAAAAAGAGGGAGTCAAACTATTCTCCAAAGCACCTGAGGGTAGAACAAGAAGCAATAGGTGGAAACTAAACAAAGAGAGAAGCAATTTAGAATTGAGGAGAAATTTCCTGACAGTTAGAACAATTAATCAGTGGAACAGCTTGCCTCCAGAGGTTGTGAATGCCCCAACACTGGAAGTCTTTAAGAAGATGTTGGATAGCCATTTGTCTGAACAGTATAGGATTTCCTGCCTAGGCAGAGGGTTGGACTAGAAGACCTCCAAGGTCCCTTCCAACTCTGCTATTGTATTGAAAGTCCAGTTGCCTCCTGGAAAAAGCACCTTTGAGACAACCATGACCTGGATGACTGAGAATCTCCATAGATAAATAAAGGAAGTGATAACATATTATTTTTAATGCAGGTGGTCCTCAACTTAGGACTACAACTGAGCCCAAAATTTACGCTGTTAAGTGAGAAATTTGTTAAGTGAGTTTTGCCTCATTTTACGATTTTTCCTCACCACATTTGTTACGGGAATTGCAGCAGTTCTTAAATTAGTAACGTGGCTGTTGAGTGAACCTGACTTCCCCATTGTCCTTGCTTGTCAGAAGGTCGTAGAAAAGATCACATGAACCTAGGACGCTGCAACCATCATTAATGTGAATCAGTTGTTAAGCAGTTGTTACAAATGTAATTCACATGACTATTGGAGACGCTGCCGTAGCATGAAAAATGGTTGTAAGCCACTTTTTTTAGTGCCATTGTAACTTCAAATGGTCACTAAAATGACCTGTTATAAGTCAAGGACCACCTGTACATAGTTTGGTGTTAGTAAGGAAACCAGAATTGGGCATTGGTAGAGGGGAAGGGGGTCTGTCCCAAAGATTAAAAAGAGAAGAATGAAAACTCAGAGTTAGGAAAGGACTGAAAAGCTCCATAGCTGTGGATGAACACATGCAGAGAGAACAAAAGAGAATATCCGAACTTTAAGCTGGAAGAAAGAGGATGCCAGCCTAAGCAGAGAAAGGGAATAGGAGATCATGACTTATACTAAGGCAAACTGGAGGACTAGCCGTGAAATACGAAGCAGCAGAAGAATTAATATATGAATGAATCTGTACGTTTGTCTCTCTGTCTGTCTACACACACACAGACACACACACACACACAGGGTGGGTTCCTAACTGTTTTACTACCAACTTGCTCNGACACTGGCCGGCGGATGGAATTCGGAGGAGGCCTAATCTGTGGGATCTAATCGGTCTAGTGGAGGTGATTGGCAGCAGGCGGAAATGCTGACTCTGTAAACTGCTTAGAGGGGGCTGTAAAAGCACTACGAAGCAGTATATAAGTCTTAGTGCTACTGCTATTTCTATTAATATCAGAACATAGTACAAGGCAAACTCTAGTGACTTGAGTGCTACAAGGTCAGTTCCTTAAATATTTTTTTCAACTATTCCTCTATTGAGGCCTATGAAACTCAGAATTAACCTTCAAGCCAACCAATCTGATGGTGGCTTAGTGCTAAAATGTGAAGATCAGCAGACATAATTGATTGTTTTATCCAATCAATCTGTCTTAATTATCTTAGGGAACCCAGAATGTTAAAAAATAAATATCATGCTGAGTATAAATAAATACAATTAACTCAGAATGCAACAAGTACGGTAACAGTAGAAAGCCAGGATAGATAAACGAATCACACAATACTTTTGAGAACTTTTGAGTTCCCACACATCATGAAACATGGTGAATACGTTCATATTAATCAAAATAATTCAGTCTAGGATCTCTTAAAAGAAAATTTTGAGCCTAGTTGGGAAAGATGAATTGCTTAAAAAGTGAGGTTTTTAATTAAAAATCAAATAATATTTTAAAGATCTAGCTTTCATTCTTTCAGTAATTGTAAGGAGGATGTGTGCAAAACTGAATTGAGAAGAATTTTCAAGAACGAAAAGAAGGCTGTTAGAAATTTGTCAGAGAGAAGACCTCATAAATTCTCATCTTACCTTCACATCTTTTACATTCATCCTTGTTCCTTCTTTTCCAACAAAGATGTCATCGATGTCAACAAGAATGTATCTGTCCAAGGATAATGTAAGCCTTTTTCCTGTCAAGAAGGAGATGGCATCTATAAAAATAAGTTTGTGCAGCCAAAAGTTCAAGTTGTTTCCAAAAAGGACTCGTTGAATTCCATCATGAAATCCCAGGTCCTGAATCACTGTAGCATAGAGATTAAGCTTTGGAAGCGATGCTGGGAATGATTTGGAGGCTTGAAATTCCGTTAAAAGCACTGGTTGATAAGTTGAGTGGTTATATTGGAAAACTGTCCAGTCATCACCAGGTAATGGACCTTTTTTAACCCTTGGGGCTTTGGTTATATGCAATAGAGGGGACTGTGGGTTTACTAAGCAATCCTGCAGAGCTATATTGTTGTAAAGATGTAACGGGAATCCTTTGAGTTGAGTACTTGACAAGCTATTCTCATTGGCTTTATGAAAACCAATTATGCTAACACTGTATTCCACACAGTATTTTTCCAGGAGTTCTCTGTTCCATGAATCCATGGATGTGTATTTCAAAATATTTTCATATACTACAAGGATGTATTTCCCTTTGCCATTGTCAGCCAGGGGTGGGATATCCCCTTTCCCAGATGCAATCACCATATGATACTGAAACCGACTAGACTCCAGGATGGCAATGATGTCTTGGCCAAGTTGAGAGTACTGGCTTTCAACAAAAAGCAACACCGTAGCATCAGTCCTACTAGGATCGATTGGCTTCACTGTTTTAAGTTCTAGTGTTCTGTAGGGCAAAAGTTTAAGGTCTTCACACTCCATTTCTCCTGTGGTATCAGTGAGGGCAATTTCTTGCTTGTGACCGGTATACAAGTAATAAGCAGAAATGACTATGCTCACTAAGCAGAAGGTGGCTAAGAGAATGACCAGTGTTCGGAAACTCCTACGAAGTTTCATGATCAGATTCATCTTTGTTTTGTTGTGTTTTGTCGCAGGAGTGTATTTCTTCTGTTTCATCTCCCCAAACTCCCAACGACTGGCTTCTTCCTTTTAAAGTGCCATCATAAATAGACCACGAGATGGTATGAATACCACTCTCCAAATATTCATGTGACCATTGCAATTCATGTAGTGGGGAAAAGGTGAAGACTATGAAATTCCTGATACTGATAGTCCGAAGAGGTGGGAATTTATATTGAAAGCTGCGTCCTTTGACTGCACCAGTTGCCAATAATCAATGGAGGAGATGCTTAGCATTATCTGCAACAAAGTGAGAAATTAGAGTAGGTTAAGAAAATCCATACAGCAATTAAAATGTGTTAATTAAATAAGCTAGTAACTTCTATTAACAGAAAAATAAATCCCACCTATGAACATTTTTATTGATTCCAAGAGAAAAGATGACAAGGGGATGACTTCCTGGTAAAATTTATGTGTGAAGAACATGCTTATCATTTACAGTTGTTATCCAAAACACTCATTATTTACTCCAGGCCTATATTTATCATGATACATAAAAGCACAATTTGTGATAATTCTCATATTTTATAAGATTCAACAATAAGCACCATCAACTGAAAGATAGATAGATAGATAGATAGATAGATAGATAGATAGATAGATAGATAGATAGATAGATAGATAGATATATAGAGAGAGACAGAGACAGAGAGAGAGAGAGAGGAGAGCTAAATAGCTTGAAATAGATCTATACTAGTCTCCCTTTATTTATTTATCAGCACAAATGCAACACAAATGTAACAAAGGCAACAGTAAAAATAATGGCTTTCTGCCNGGGAGGGAGCTGGAACTGGTTCTAAACGGCACTGTAGATTTGTGGAACCTCTTCTATAGAAGAGGTTAGAACTGGCAGGAACCCACCCCTGGTCAAGGATTACCTGTATTTGGAAAGACTCTTAAGACTTGGCTTTTTCCTTCAGCACTGGACTCAACTGTTAATGAGTTTTATGAATAATTGATCCTGACATTACAAGTTTTAATGTCTGGCTTTTTATGACTGATCTATTTTTTCCCCTTAATGTTTAAATTTGAGAACACATACAAAATTGCTTGGCAAATGGGTGAACCACATACATACATAAATAAAATTTAATATTTAAACTGCAAAAAACAGTGGGTTTTTTTTACATGTTTTTGAAGGAAAAAAAGGTTGCTTTTGTTTATCTTGTGAGACAGATTATCTTTCAGGAGGGAAAAAAATGCTATAGCTATGTGCCCCTATATTACATAGCCAGGAATTTGAAATAATTTGCATTGTCCCTTTAATTACTTGGAAGGGAAACAGAGTGTAAAAGTTCTCCCACGTACTGTCAACCCCGAAGCGAATCTGACTAAAGCCATCTTTACAGCTTCAGGGTTGCCACGAGTCAGGGACGGGGGGAAATAGTTGGCTGGGGGTTTGTAGTCAAAACAAAAAGTTTTCCTGTGGGAACCAAGGACATTTCAACAGGTGGCTGGGAAGAGGAAGAGTAGAATAACAAGCAACCGGCTAGCACCTCTATTGGACAATGTGACTGATGACTGGGGGGGAGGGGAGAAAGGGGGATTTTCACTTTTTAGTTAGGTGGAAACCGTGGGAACTTTCAGAGTCGGTTTTCACCAGTTGTGCCAATATGATGTATCCAATAAATTGTTTTTGAGGAATCTACCTGCCTCTGAGTTCTGCTTTCAATGGTGCATTACTTGGAATGCTGACACATACATTGAAAATTGTGGGTAGACTCCAGGTGACGATCTCTCTGGAAGTTAAGCAGTGGCAATACTATCAAACTGATACCCAAAATCAAGGCTAGGATCTGAAGACTGCGGAGAGGACTTCTCATTATTTATTTTTTATTTTATTTATTTTATTAAACATTTATAGGCCGCCCTTTTCCCTGAGGGGACTCAGGGCGGCTTACAATAATAGGGGAG